GACCCTAAGCTTCCGGATACCCACGGATGATTTAGATTACTACAAAGCGCCTCTCATAGGATTATCTATTTCTGATACAAAGGTAAGTTTTATGCACCTGTAATAAGAGATTCGTGGGAATATAGATCTGGTGTTTAGTTATGGCCAAGATGGAGTTTGTTCTTACTGAACTGAAACGAAAGTAAATAAAAATCTCGCATATTTGAACTTTTTTTTGCAATTAAAAAGCACTGATTACATCAGAAGAAAAATATTAGGAAACAAATTTTGAGGAATATATGTTTCATGTTCCTAATTTTTAATTTTCTGTCTCTAATTTTTCATGATTTTCTTGTATAAGATTTACCGGAATCAAAACATGCATGGAAAGCATATCTGAATTTCATATATTTTCTGCTTCCAGATACCCGTTTTTGATACCCTCTATGGCGCCCCTAATATTGGAAAGTATTCTACGGGTAGGATACATTAAGATCTGTAATAATATAAATGTAATTAAATTAAAAACACATGGTTTCTATGAAAATAGTAGTATATAAAGCTTGTAGGTAAAAATCAGTTTTGAAGGAAATGGGCCCCGAAACAACTTTCTTATTGTCCACGTTTATTGTCACTGAAACTCGATCAGGCCCATAGACCATAAAATGAGAACAGACTTAAGTCAAAAATTTAAACAATTAAAACTTTTGAAATAATTTTGATATTGAAACAAAACTTTCATCACATATTTCAATTGAAATATTACGCAACAATGCAAATTTTTAAACAAATGCATAAAATAAAACTCAATAGATTAAAAATAAAAAAAATTGACTTAAGTCTGTTCTCAGTTTATGGTCAATGTTCGTTTAATTTGAAAGAAAGTTATGAGTTTGATTATTTGTTTAAAGTCGTCCTTTTCTAACTTTAGTTTCAGTTGGATAAAAGTGCTCTAAAGGACTGTGATCTAAATGATATCAAAATAACGTTTTTGCAGGCGGTCTATTGGCAAAGAATGATGGTGATATCAGAACCGCGAAAAGTTTGAAATTAGAAGTAGAAAGGTCAAAGATCGTGCAAAACACTTATTTAACTGGATCATTATTTGGTAAGTTTTTTATAATTTTTTTTTTTTACAAAATAAACACCCGTTTACCATCGTGAATAGATAAATACTCTATATTCAATTGAATTTTGAAAAGCGCCGATTTTTCCAACTTTTAAGTTATGTACGGAGGTACGGCATCTCTTATATTTAAAGCAATATGAGCTGCATTTTTCAGAAATTTATTTTGCAGATAAAATGTGTTATTATGATTAATTTGTGTGTAATTTAAGGGTCCTCCACACACACACAACTTATGTTCTCATGTGACTGAGCATTACTTTTTAAAACAAGCATATCAACCTTTAAAAACCAGGAATTAAAATATAATTTATACTGATTTTTTAAATATTAATTTTACCAGTTTCAAGATATTTTTCCCACGGCGTTTTCATACCTAGCACAACAAATTTTGTCTTAACCTATCGTATATTTGTAAGCTCACAGAATAACCATAAAAACTTAATTTTATAAATCGACATATTTTTTTTTACAGAAATTTATTTTATTTATAAAAAATAAATAAAACTCATTTTCTCTAAAATACATCTAGAGAAAAATCAAGGAAGACTCCATTTGTATAGAAAAGGCATCAATGAATTAGATTACATGTACACCAAAAAATTAAATTAAAATAAAATGCACTGATGTAGAAAAAAATGTTTTCAAAATCTTTGGTATCAAAGTTCCTCTTTGGAGTTATCTTAAGTTTTCTGTTGCCCGGGACTCAAAAACTTTGGCAAGTCTCCGCATACGTATGAGTATAGCTACTCATTATTGGCTACTGAACTGGACAGATATAAAAGAGAAAAACTAGAGACGCACACTATTTTATCAATATTTATAAACACACAGTGAGATAATATATTATTGAAACGCACATATTAGTGCGTAAAAATATCAACTTTCAACACAGACTCTGTTGACGATCATATGTCAGTGGGTTGATTAGCCTGAACGTATAAATTACCAAAAAGTTCTCGTCATACTGACATCCGTTGTTTACGAATTATTATGCAATATAAACCCAAACGTCTGTTGTTCTTTTATAAGAAAAAAAAAACCGGACATCTTTTTCTATCGGTCTCTCCGTGACCATGCCATGTGTTCATTGTTTATGATTAGGGTGTCGCTCTCAGTGTAGTGCATACTATTCCCTTAACAAAACCTTTATCTCTAAAACGTTTGAAAGACTCTCTTACAGGCGGTGCCTCGGCAAATTGTGAGTGGACAAACTACATAAAACCGGAAGTCAAAGTATTTTTTCTCTACATACGTCACAAGTCACATGGTGTGGAGGACTCTTAAAGTCTTATGATCAATAAAACCAAGCGAAAATTTTAAATTGCTTCAGAAGAAATATTTCTGCACAGTCAATTGTATAACACTTTATAAGAAATCAAAATTGTACAGGACGACAATAATGTAATTTTGCTTATAAAAAGATTATTATAAGATCATAAAAAGTTCTTCCATCAAAAATATGAACAACAGAAGTTTATAAATGTTCTATTTCTCTACCATTGAAATAGTTAATCACAAATTTGCAACTTTTTCTCTTGTCAAACTTGCAGCTCATATCGCTTTAAAAAACCGTAAAAGAATGGCTATAGGTTTGGTTTTAAGGACAGTAAGGTGTCAACCGGTATTCAATCAACACAAGGTAAAATAGGAGGCAGAATAACACATGATGAGTTAAAATGCAGCCTATTTCTTCTTTCATTCTCATTTTTTGAGAGAAACATAGGAGGAAAAAAACATTATGGAAGGAAAATTTCGTAAGGGCCATCGTGCGAGAGAGAGCGTCAAGATTAGGGTTCGTTCCCTTCTTATAATAACGTAAACTGTGCTTTGATATGATTTACTGTGTGTATTATTTAGAGTACGAGTTTCCTACTGTATCGGAGATACAGGGCGGGGCTTGAGGCGAGAGCGATAGCTCGAGCCGGGCCCCGCCCTGTATCTCTGATACAGTAGGAAACGAGTAATCTAAATGACTTGTGACATGACCTTTCTTATGACCTCACTAATTTACATGCGTATTTGGGTACATATCACTCAACCAATCAGATGATTTTGCAGAAAGCTGATTTAGTATCCCATTTTAAGCATTTGTAACTGAAATGCCGAGTGAGGTGGACGTACAGGTATTTATCATTTTGAAATAATTATTTAGGGGATGTATAATATATTTTTGTTTTCCAAAAAAAAAAAAATAAATAAATAAATATAGATTTCATTACGTAGTGCTTTTTTTCTCCATTCAGCTCTTTCTGGCATTTTTTTTAATTTAAGCTTCGACTTTAATTAATGCAAAACATTTTGATATATAAGAATCGTGCAGGAATGTTTTTGAAACAAAAATGCATCGGGGATAGCATAATCTGATAGAAATGTCAGACAATGTCCTCCGGTCGTCATATACAAAAATGAAATGAACAGATGAAAGGAAGGGGGCCCAACCATATTTAACTTCATGTTTTTAATAAAATGTAGTGTAACCAAAGGGGATCTGAGCAATCACTGGTGCCCCCCATCCCACCCTCCTTGATTTTTTTAAAAAAAATTTCTTTTTCGCTTTCGTGAATGATTTCTGGTAAACTTGTATGCATACGCTGTTTAATTTATCAACAAGTAACGATATCACGCACATAGTGTCTTGGTTGGATATAAATCTAACCCCACGAAATACGATTTTTCCACTGATTTTTTTTTTCATGGGGGGGGGGTGTTCAAAGTATTCATTTGTGAACTGCCCCACTCCCTCTTTTCTTAAGTTTTTGAATCCGACACCATAATAAATTTACGTCGTAAAATTTTATTCTTAATTCACCTCAAATTTTGAGTAAATACTAACAGTGCTACATGTATCATGCGAATTGAACGATTTTGTGCCTGTATATACAGATACAGCTTTCCGTCATGGCTAAAAATAAACCGTACTGTATCGTTGATATTTTGCAGATACAGTACAGTTTCTGCTCATTTGCATAAGAAACGCCCACAAAAAGTGTTCTGTATCGCAGTTACAGTATGCTTGACTTCAAAGGAAAACTCGCCGGGTCATGTCACAACGTTTAAATAAGTGTTAGGCTTAATATTTATATAATTAAAAAGCTTCCGTATATTGTCCTACTGTAATGATAATCCGTCGATTATTAAAGTCAGCGCTTCTCGCAAAAGTCCACATCCCTGATTGCAATAAGTGTAAGCATTTAATAAAGTTGTATTTGTTCATGTCTGTTAAAATTTATTAAAGATTGTTAAAATTTATTACAGATTATGATCATTACCAGGTATAACACTTATAAAATGATTTACTCGTTATCCCTTTAAGACTAGGCTTATCCCATAGACAGTGCCATAGATACAATACAAATCGCATTTACACTAATTTAAAGTTATGTTAATTATTTACTTACTGCTTGGATTTTATGCTATTAACTTTTATTAAATTTCTCAATATCAAGGACACTGAATTCTGCTAGACTTTGAAATTAAGCCTACAAGAAACTCAAGTGCAAGCATCTAATAAATAAATTATACATTTATTTTTAGGATACAGTATTGCAACGGGTAATTTAGGAGGCGTTCCCCAAGAAAGACTTAATTTCCATTTTGTTGTCGGCGCTCCCGGATTCAGCAATAAGAATGGAGTTATTGGGGCTGTAAGTTACTACAGTGAAACTTGTCTAATCTGAATGCTGTGTCAGTCACGTAGCATCGTTTTTGAAAGGGGGATGATGCCAGAGACATTTTTTTTTTGCTTACCTGAAAAAGTTGACTAGCAAAGAAAAAAAAAAGAAAGAAAGAAAAGAAATATTTCTAAAAGTCGAAAATCCTAATTTGGGGGGGGGGGGGGGGGGGGGGGGCTGGCGTTAGAAGATATAACTTCTTTCAATACCAACTTCTTTCAGTACCACTTTTTTAAAACTACAATACTACATTCTCCTTATATCACAAAAAGTTGGCCCCCTCCCGTTGCTACGTTCCTGTGTGTATTGCGAAATCCTTCTAATACGAACTGATATCTGATTCTCTTTCAAAGAATTCATCTTTTCAATCTTCAAATGTTCTTTAAAACGTTATGTTGTCCTATCCTGACAATATCTTTGGAATCAGTTACGTTTTGATTAGACAAGTAACACTGTAGTTAAAATTAAAAATTCGAACAATATGACATATCTGGCGATTGTTTTTAGTTTTCAGTGTTGCAATTTGGGACCGCCTTTCAACAAGTCAAACAGATTGAAGGAACGCAGGTAATCGGACAAATTTCACAAAATTAATTCAATTCAAATATTCAAAAAGATTGTATATTTATTAAATTTTATTTTAAATAAAACATTCTCCTATCTCTAAATATTGAAAATAAATAAGGTAGGAGGTGGATTTGGTCAAACACTCTGTATTGCTGATGTGAATGGCGATAATAACGATGAGATCCTGGTCGCGGCACCAAATTGGTTTTCTATGGGTGACCAGGGAAATCAAGTGATTTATGATGTCGGAGTCGTTTTTGTATATTATGGCACTGGATCATCTTCGGTAAGATAAAACTTGTTTTTATTTAGGTAGCTTAAAGATTTAAGGAAATTTCTAAAAGCAACACGTATATGATATTTATAGCATTCATATTTTCAATACCAGTATACTAGTTACATAATGGCACTTTTTCTAAGATATTCAATCCTTTCTATAATTTTTATATAAATAAACGTTAATCCAGCAATAAATGAGGTCTGTTTACAATATTGTACTGATAAATTATTGGTTCCGGCTTTTGCAAAGAATAGATAACTTGTTCCATTATTTGAAGCTGCAATACATGTACGTATAGTGGTTAACTTGTACTACGAAAAAAATAATAGAACAATATCAGCAAACCCGTATTTTTGTCCTATTTGATATTCATCAAATAACTTTTAATTATCCAATTTTTTGTTGTTGTAGATAATTGATGACACAGCACAAGAGATTCGAGGTTCCCTCGCACGATTCGCGAGATTCGGAACTGCAATTTCTAACATTGGTGATATAAACAAAGATGGGTACAATGGTATGTCAAATAGTCAAAACTGATAAAAAAAAATAAATTGAGGTTTTGTCTAGCCCATTCTATTCCCCTTCTCCTATTTTTAGTTCATTTTTAACATGTTTTATATATTTCAATGTAAGGCATTCAAAAGATCACCTTTTCTTTTTTCCTCATACTTGTACAACTTTTGACAGAAAAGGTAAACTAAGTTTGAAATATAGCGGGCACCATGTTTTTTGTGGACCAGGGCTGATAAAAATATTTCCTTATCTACTTGTCATAATAAACATAGAATATTAAATTTAATAAAAAGATTTAACAATCAAAGTCATAAATAAATTTAATATTGTTAATAAAATCAACAATCTGAGTTAGTGTTTTCAAATAATTTATTGATTAAAAAAGGGAATAAACAAAGCATATACTACTAACTGATATTTCCCCAAAATATGTGAAATACAGAAGAAATTCGGATTAGTCAGTATATTTGGTTATATCATTATTATCAATAATATCAATTTGGTAGTATCGTCTGATAAACCATATCATATTGGTTACATCTTTTATGAAAAAAAACCTTCTGAAATAAAAATAGAAATCTCATGATTGGCAACAGTATTTTTAATTCTTAATATCAAGGAAAAAGATAATGACCTTGACCTTGCTCTCAACATAAAACGGTAAAATTTAATCTTTTCGATTCCCCCAGTTAGTAATTTTTATTTTTTTAATCAATGAAAATTCCATTAACTTTTTTAATCTGAGATAAGAAAAATCCTTCCTTAAGGAATTCAAAAACAATCTCTGAAAAAAATTGATTTGTAGAATTGAATTTTTTAAAGATGTGTGTAGTATGTTTTATTTTTCGTAAAAGTATTAAGGCATAGTAGTGAATTGCGAGAATAAAAAAAAAATTAAGTGAATCTAATTTAATAAGTACATTTCAAGAGGTTAGATTTATCATTATTTAATTTGCTATTTATTATTTGTTTATTGTTTAACACCGAATTGATAATTTTTCAGCCATATTTATGCAAAAACTTAAGTTTATTTAACCGGATGATGAAACGAATTCGTTTTTTTTTTCTGGCAAACCCAATCAAGCCTTCTCTTTATTCAAATCAGAGAATCGATCTTTTTCTTGCCAAGGTCAACCAAAATATCGGATTTGTTGAATGAAAAATTTGATATCTCCATGAAGTGTCCCAAGAAATTTGAGAATATAAAAACCACTTATTACTTAAGTTTAAAATCTTGCCATTCTTAACCAAATTCTGTAGATCTGGGTACGCTGTCATAAAACATACATAAGTCTAAGAATGCTCTCAAGTCTGAGAATTTTCTCAAATCCAAAATTTTCAGACTCAGCAACCATCATAAAAAAAGTTGAGAAAAATAAAAATTCCTTAAGCTCTGTTTTATTCTCAAATTCTCAGCTGAGTAATTCTCAAGACTTGAGTTGAGAATATCTTTGAGAATTCCCAATGTTCTATGACGGCGGACCCTGGGTCCACCGTTATAAAACATACTTAAGTCTGAGAATGCTCTCAAGTCTGAGAATTTTCTCAAATCCAAAATTCTCAGACTCAGCGGCCGTCATAAAAAAGTTGAGAAAAATAAAATTCCTTAAACTCTGTTTGATTGTAAAATTCTCAGGTGAGTAATTCTCAAGACTTGAGTTGAGAATTTTTATGAGAATTCTCAAAGGTTTATAACGGCGGACCCTGTTAATCCTCAAACTGTTTAACTATACAGATATCCTGTAGTCAGAGAGGCACCAATACGTATTTACTGTTAAAATTGTCTAATCTGACATGCACCAGTCTGGAATACGAAGTTTGTTCGGAATAGACAGGGTGTCAGATTGAGTGTATGAAATGTAGAGAAACATTGAAAAAAAAAATGGAAGCAAAATTTATCGTCGGAATTCACAGTATGATGGATTGCACAGGTTTGTGATTAATCAGTTTTCACTGTATTTAAATAAAAACTTTTTTTTTTACTTATTAGATATAGCTATAGGAGCTCCATTTGAGAACAAAGAGGGGGCTGTATACATCTTCAGTGGAGGGAATACTAAATTAGAAGACAAGTACTCACAGAAAATAGCAGGATCCTATGTGAAGCAAGGACTTCAGGGATTCGGATGGTATATATCAAGAACACCAAGGGATTTAGATGACAATTTGTATAATGGTAAACATTTAATGAAAATGTAAAAAAAGTTTTTTTGAAAAGATCATGCACATACAAGCATATTATTTTGCTCTCATTATTTATTATTATTATTATTATTTACATGTGCTTATGGCTAGCGTATTAGAGGTTAAGCTCCATTCTTTTTTATTGATACATGTATTTGTGAAACTTGCAGACTATTCAGTTCTGTTTTTAAGTTTATGATATTTTGTTTTATTAGCTCACCTGAGCCGAAGGCTCAAGTGAGCTTCTCCGATCACATTTTGTCCGGCGTCCGTCTGTCTGTCCGTCTGTCTGTTTGTCTGTCTGTAAACTTTTCACATTTTCGACTTCTTCTCAAGAACTGCTGGGTCAATTTCAACCAAACTTGCCACAAAGCATCCTTGGGTAAAGGGGATTCAAGTTTGTTCAAATCAAGGGCCACGCTCTCATTTAAGGGGAGATAATTGGGAATTAATGAAAATTTGGTGGTATGCTTTAAAAATCTTCTTCTCAAGAAACACTGTGCCAGGAAAAATGAAAATAATGGGAATACATTCTCAGGTAGTGTAGATTCAAATTTGTTCAAATAATGACCCCCAGGTGTAGGGCGGGGCCACAATAGCCGACCAAAGTTTTACATAGAAATATATAGGAAATTTTTTTAAAAAGCTTCTTCTCAAGAATAGCTAAGCCATAATTGATCATATTTACATGGAAGCATCCTCAGGTAGTGTAGATTCAAGTTTGTTAAAATCATGACCCCCGGGGGTAGGGCGGGGCCAAAATGGCCGACCAAAATTTTACATAGAAATATATAGGAAAATTCTTTTAAAATCTTCTTCTCAAGAATAGCAAAGCCATAATTGATCATATTTTTAAGGAAGCATCCTCAGGTAGTGTAGATTCAAGTTTGTTAAAATCATGACCCCCAGGGGTAGGGTGGGGCCACAATGGCCGACCAAAGTTTTACAAAGAAATATATAGGAGAATTCTTTAAAAATCTTCTTCTCAAGAATAGCAAAGCCATAATTGATCATATTTATATGGAAGCATCCTCAGGTAGTGAAGATTCAAATTTGTTCAAATCATTACCCCCGGGAGTAGGGCGGGGCCACATTGGCAGACCAAAGTTTTACATAGAAATATATAGGAAAATTCTTTAAAAATCTTCTTCTCAAGAATAGCAAAGCCATAATTGATCATATTTATATGGAAGCATCCTCAGGTAGTGTAGATTCAAGTTTGTTAAAATCATGACCCCCGGGGGTAGGGCTAGGCCACAATGGCCGACCAAAGTTTTACATAGAAATATATAGGAAAATTCTTTAAAAATCATCTTCTCGCGAATCGCAAAGCCATAATTGGTCATGGGACTACATTTGGATTTAATTTTTTCAATAATAAACTAATTTCTACTTTTTCCTAGCCACAGTGCTCAGGTGAGCGATGTGGCCCATGGGCCTCTTGTATTTATCATACATGAGTTTCATTTTTTCCATAGCTTTTAATGCTTGTTTGAAAAACAACCAAAATTTCAGCTTTGAAATGTCAATATAATGACAGATTTCTATTTCTCTGTAATATTCACATTTAGAGAATACAAATCATTCACTGACAGTCGTGTTTCCTTTATTTTATCATAAGATTTCAGTATCAGTATAGATCAGAAACTGCAGTGTTTTTATGCAGATTTTTTCTTTATTTTTTCTTTTTTGTAGATTTTGTTGTTGGTGCATACAGATCAGATACAACTGTGTTGCTTAGGACCAGAAATATCATTGATGTCAACTGTGAAATATCTTACACGCCAAATCCCATTCCTCTAAACTCAAGTAGAACTTTCTGCGATGTTGATTTCAATCCCTGCTTTAATGTCTCAATTTGCTTCAACTTTACTGGGGAAGGAATTAATAAAACGAGTAAGCATACAGTGACGTCTCCATATGAGTGAAAAAATCTCCAGAGGGACGTTAAACAATATACAATCAATCAATCAATCAAGAAGTAGTTAAATGTTGAAAATTGCTTATTTTTTATTTTGAAAATTTTTGACTACAAATGTTAATATATTAAAAATCTTAGTTTTTTTAAATTAAAACTAAATTTGAATACAGAATATCCTACCAAAATCATCAACACAAGAGGCGCAACACAATGTGACCGGTTATCTGGGAATACTTACTCCTAAATAGTTATCTGAACCCTCTTTTGGAGTTTTTAGCTCACCTGAGCTGAAAGCTCAAGTGAGCTTTTCTGATCACATTTTGTCCGGCGTCCGTCTGTCTGTCTGTCTGTCCGTCTGTCCGTCTGTCTGTCTGTCTGTCTGTAAACTTTTCACATTTTCGACTTCTTCTCAAGAACCGCTAGGATAATTTCAACCAAACTTGCCACAGCGTATCCTTGGCTGAAGGAAATTCAAGTTTGTTCAAATGAAGGGCCACGCCCTCATTCAAGGGGAGATAATTGGGAATTAATGAAAATTTGGTGGCATATTTTAAAAATCTTCTTCTCCAGAACCACTGTGCCAGGAAAGATGAAACTTATGGGGAAACATCCTCAGGTAGTGTAGATTCAAGTTTGTTCAAATCATGACCCTCGGGGGTAGGGCGGGGCCAAAATGGCCGACCAAAGTTTTACATAGAAATATATAGGAAAATTCTTTAAAAATCTTCTTCTCAAGAATGACAAAGCCATAATTCATGATATTTATATGGAAGCATGTTCAGGTAGTGTAGATTCAAGTTTGTTCAAATCATGACCCCCGGGGGTAGGGCGGGGCCAAAATGGCCGACCAAAGTTTTACATAGAAATATATAGGAAAATTCTTTAAAAATCTTCTTCTCCAGAATGACAAAGCCATAACTCATCATATTTATATGGAAGCATATTCAGGTAGTGTAGATTCAAGTTTGTTCAAATTATGACCCCTGGGGGTAGGGCGGGGCCAAAATGGCCGACCAAAGTTTTAGATAGAAATATATTGGAAAATTCTTTAAAAATCTTCTTCTCAAGAATGACAAAGCCATAATTCATTATATTTATATGGAAGCATGTTCAGGTAGTGTAGATTCAGATTTGTTCAAATCATGACCCCCGGGGGTAGGGCGGGGCCAAAATGGCCGACCAAAGTTTTACATAGAAATATATAGGAAAATTCTTTAAAAATCTTCTTCTCCAGAATGACAAAGGCATAATTCATCATATTTATATGGAAGCATATTCAGGAAGTGTAGATTCAAGTTTGTTCAAATCATGACCCCCCGGGGTAGGGCGGGGCCAAAATGGCCAACCAAAGTTTTACATAGAAATATATTGGAAAATTCTTTAAAAATCTTCTTCTCAAGAATGACAAAGCCATAATTCATCATATTTCTATGGAAGCATGCTCAGGTGTGTAGATTCAGATCTGTTCAAATCATGACCCCCGGGGGTAGGGCGGGGCCAAAATGGCCGACCAAAGTTTTACATAGAAATACATAGGAAAATTCTTTAAAAATCTTCTTCTCAAGAATGACAAAGCCATAATTCATGATATTTATATGGAAGCATGTTCAGGTAGTGTAGGTTCAAGTTTGTTCAAATCATGACCCCCGGGGGTAGGGCAGGGCCAAAATGGCCGACCAAAGTTTTAGATAGAAATATATAGGGAAATTCTTTAAAAATCTTCTTCTCAAGAATGACAAAGCCATATATAATTCATCATATTTATATGGAAGCATGTTAGGTAGTGTAGATTCAAGTTTGTTCAAATCATGACCCCCGGGGGTAGGGCGGGGCCAAAATGGCCGACCAAAGTTTTTAAAGATATATATAGGAAAATTCTTTAAAAATCATTTTCCAAAAAATAGCAAATCCATGATTGGTCATGGGACTACTTTTGGATTTAAACTTTACAATAAAAAGCCATTTTCTACTTTTTCCTACCCTTAGTGCTCAGGTGAGCGATGTGGCCCATGGGCCTCTTGTTAGGGATTCCTGTGTTTAAATTTTCTTAAGACGGATCACTCTTTGTTATATAATAATTCACTTTTTTTCATTCATCAATTAAATAAATTTGTAGATTATGCTCTCATCGCCCAAATAAAATTATAATTAATGTTCGTATAAAAACAGATAAGTTAAATAATTTTTAAAAATTCTTCTTATATGATATTGTAAGGAAACATTTTGACAGGCTCAATAAATATCAAAGTGATCCAATACTTAATTTTCCCTAGACATTGATTTTACCATTACCATTGATGCCAATGAGACAAGGAAGAGGGCAGAGATGACAAATGGCAGTCACAGATTTGAGGAACTAACTGTCCGTGACTTCACCATCTTTTCCTTCAAATCAAGTTGTTATTCCTCAGAACTTACAGTAGAGGTGGGTCTATAAAGTTATTCATAAAGTTAATCTGAAAGACAAAATTTAAAGTACTATAAATCACGTATTTTCGCAGGGTCTAATTTTTGTGGTTTGAGGAATAAATTTGGGTTCGTTGAGATTTAATTTCGTGGATCAATAATTGCTAAGTTGTAATATTTGTGAAAAATTACATTTCATGATGGACAAAAATTCGTAGCTCTCTCCATACCTAGAAAACCACAAAAATTAAAACACCACGAAAATTTGTGATTTCAAAAATGATATTTGATAAAACGGTAAACTTTTTTTAATACAAAAAAAAAAAAAATGAAATAAAATTAATGTTTAATTTCTATTTGTATATTTCATATTTCATTCATATCGCATTTAAAATTGATTTGGAATTTTTTTGTGCTATTAGTAATATCATTTCTTTTTTTCAAATTTTCTTTTATATCAGAATATTGATAGAAGATTTTTTCAAGTCATTGAAAGACCCGTTTCTCTCAGAGTAGATTATAACATAAGCAACGTTACTGTGGATCCCGGAACTGTTAAAGCTATTTTGAGAAGGGATATTTCTGCATCATTCTTTGGACAGGTAAAAATTATCCTATCTTATTTTATACCTAAAGAGATATTTAAAGGAAAAAAGTTGTCAAATTTCACATCACATTACACCATAAACCGTCAAGTGATTGCTCAGTGAATCCTAAACCGAAAAATTTTCAAAATTTTAGCAAATAGATCTGATTTCTGACATACTACTAAACATAAGATAGTTCTTTAACAAGACATACACAAGATGCATGAATGTCATTATATAAAGAACACGATACATTTTTCATTAACTGATCAATGTGTCCCCGAATATTTCTAATAATGCTCGTACATGGCAACATTAATGCTGGAATGTTGAAAATATCCATTCAGTAAAATGATGTGTCTATTGCCGTAGTAGTACATGTACATATAAAGTGTGTTAAGAAAGTTCATTCCACGTTTTCTTTTTATTTTCGAAAAGAAATACGATTAGAAGATGATATAAGATGACATAAGATATAAGACCATATGATGTCTGTTCAGAAAAACTAGGCGTGACGTATATTTGTGACATTATAATAAGCACACCGTTCAAAACATCCTTTCAAATACTATGCAAAAATTATCAAGTCGGTAAAAACTTTTAACATGACAAACCTCTTCTTTTGAAAAGTGGTCTATTGTTTTTATACCTATGCTTATTAGCTTGTCTGATGCAAGATAATAAATGAAGAAACGAAAGTATATTATCCTTTATTTCCACTGAAAATGACCCGCATTTCTATCATTAGAAGGCTTTAAAGATGTCACGCATATTTATGTTCCCCAAACGAAGTTGGGGAACATATTGTTAAGGTCTTCCGTCTTAACGGAAGACCTTATAGCGATTCTATTGTTTCTTATTATTATTATTATTATTTTTCTAATGCGATTTCTCAAAGACTACTGGATGGAATTACATGAAATTTTCAGGACAGATGTTTTGTTAAATCAATTTGATACATCTGAGAGATTTTTTTGAAATTCGCTTCCGGTGCCAAGTTACAGACCTTTTTCTGATTTCTTTTGTCCACGGATTTTCTCAAGAACGGTAAAAGATATCAATGTGAAAATTTCAGATATTATAGCTGAAGATAAATACTATCCAGGACGCGACTTTTCGTTTGTCGTCATTACTTCCGCTTGCTACCGGAAGCTAATTTAAAAAGTCTAATTTTTTAGATTTTTTTGTTTTTCAATATTTTTTGTTTATTTTTTGTATGTTAATAGAAACCTTTCTTATAATGCTTACTATATATTTTGTTTGAATATTGATAAATCTAAACTCTAGATATTAGCATTTAAAAATTAGAAGCGTTTCAAAATGGCCGCTCTCTCTGTCAACTCCGACATTTCGCAATAGGGGTTTACTGAGGCAGTCGAGCATTTGCTTGAACGAAAGTAACAGACAAATGAAATGTAAAGGAATACTTGGATTTTCATGTTGTAGTAACGTAACAATTCTGTGTCAAACTAAATTCTTCTAAGTAAACGTCTTCTATAATTGGTTTTGGTTGATTCTCAAAGTAGAAAAAGAAAAGACTAAATGTGCAAATGAAATTCGATACCTAATATCTTCTGATTGCACCACGGAAAAGCAGCTCATTAATCATTGTTATAAGTAATAGTTTTTCAAGAAGGATATCAATGAATACAGTAAGTATAAAACTTACTCACTGTTTTCCCCATGCACACTTGTGCCATATTAAATTAATAAAAAAGACAAAATAAGATAACCTTATTTTTTTTAAAGATCGCTTGATAGAGTTTATATAAACATTATTGTCTCAAAGATTTTATTCAAGTTATTGAGCACAAACAATATCCAATTCCTTGACCGTCGTAAGGCGAGTCATTTTTTTTTTTGCGAAACATTTCAATCTCTTCATGAATGTTTTTAACTAATCGGGATAGTTCACTTTAACATGAAATTCTAAAAAAAAAGTTAAAATTCATAGCCGTTTCACTGTTTTAGTGTTACTTCCTTATATACTAAATGGAGTTTGTGAAATGTATTAAATATACTTTCTAATCATCAAGTTTTATGCTAAATGAACGGTTTTTTTAATTTCATTAAAGCTATCACACCTATTGAATAGAA